TACCTCTTTGCCTTTTGGCTGCGTGCAAGTGGGTCCTTGTGACACACGGGGATGGGGGCAGCCAGCGCTCAACCTGTCATCCACGTGGCTGGCCTTGTACGTAAGAGGTTATGAACAGGTGGAGCTTTCCTTACCTCTTCCCCTTCCCCTTTTTTCCTTTTCCTTTTTTCTTTCCCCTTTTGTGCGCTCTGATTCACAATGTGACAATATATATTGCTCTGAACAGGGGGAGTTGTAAGAAAGTAAGATAAAAAAGCGAATTATTTTTTCCTTGTTTTCTTCTGTTTTTTTCGCCTTTGCCCTCTGGTATTCATGTGACGATATATATAGTTCCCAGTGGCTGGCCTTGTACGTAAGAGGTGATGAACAGGTGGGGCTTTCCTTCCTTCCTTCTTTTCCTTTCCTTGTTTTGCTTTTTTCCGCCTTCGCGCTCTGATTTACAGTGTGACAACATATATAATATATATATTCAGGACGATCCCCTCCACGGCCCTCCCCCCCCCCTCTCTGCACAATGCCTGCACTTTGTGGGCCTGACTATACAAGACAACTGCAACGACTTGGGGGTTTTGGCGGCCTGTAGCCCGTTGAGTCGAGGCTGTACTATAGGTAGGTCAGATTCGTAATTTTGTTTGGCTGAGGGCTAACCGAGAGACCCACCTGTAAGGAAAATTCGAGAGGGACATATCTGCAAATTCGGGAAAATATAGGCCCGTACTTACTAGAATTTCCTTCAGCTACCCTAACTGCGAATAGCAGGCCCGGGCTACCCCTAGGACAGACAGGCCCTAGTGGCCTATGCTGAGCTACGGTCCTATAGCCTATAGCCGGGTAGGTAGAGGTCGAGAGGCCGAAACTGGAATGGTATCGGTCAGTCCTACTAGTCCGGTCTAGGTCGTGTCTAGGCTAGGGTAGGGGATAGATAGAATGTAGACATCGGTTCAGGGCTTTTGGCAGGCGGTACCGAGTACATCGCAGCTGTGCAACGCATGAACTGGAAGTGGTGACAGCTTCAGCGTTGGTGAAGATGGACATAGCCGGACCTTCGGAGCGCCGGCCATAGCTGGGACCTGCGCTGTACTCTGACAGCACGTGGGGCTGTACAGAGGTTCGGGCTATTCGAGGTCTGCTGGAGGCAGGAGAAGTTGGTGCCCTGCTGAAACCTCCTCAGGAGTAAGGTTACAGGGTGTGTGGCGCTGCAGCCATAGCTGCAGCTTCTTCCTCAGAGATCATCTTGTCAGGAGAGGTGGCGCTGCTGTAGACTTCCACCCGGGAAGTCATCCCGCACTTCGTCATCATCAAACACTTTGGCGCTGGTTTTCTTCTTCATCCTCTGAGAAGCACTTGGCCTCAGAGGCCTGTTTCAGGGTGGCGCTTCCCTCTGGAAGCAGTATCTCGGTGGTGCTGGTTGTTTCAGGGGCTCAGGGGTGATATAGCGGTTACTCAGGATGTGGGGAGTGAAGCACTGCTCATTTCTGAGCAGCGCACCATAGTTCTGGGGTTATTCTGACATTTCGAGACTCTGAGTTTAATAAACAGTGTTGATACTGGGTTTGGACTATCATTGCTTCATTGTTTCCTGGATGTGATCTACTCGGCTTTCCTTTATGACTGGTTGTGAGGATTGCGTGGAGTGAATTGCACTTTCAGTGTACCCTGTCATATCGCATGGTCAAGTCTTCCACTGTGTTTCTCTCTCTCTGTGCGGTGTGATACTCCTATCCTCTCCCCTTCCTTCTGTGTATGTATGGGCATACCTGGAAGTCTATGTGAGTGAGTGTTGGTCTTCATACAGCAGACAACCAGAATCATAACACAACATTCTACATGTATGCGAGAGAGTCCCTTCAATGCAAGATGTCCTACATGTATGCAGACCGTATTGTCAATGAGATACATTCAAACTGATCCAACATTTTGAACGTATCTGGGTTGCAACACAGTGTAGATAGATGTAGAACATCTTGCATTGAAGGGACTCTCTCTCTCTCTCTCTCTCTCTCTCTCTCTCTCTCTCTCTCTCTCTCTCTGTGTGTGTGTGTGTGTGTGTGTGTGTGTGGGCTTCATGAGCGCGCAGCTTTCAAAACTATCACGCCGCCAAATCACCGGGGGGGGGGGGGGGGAAGAGAGAGAGAGAGTTCCCACATGCCACTCTCTCTCTGTGAACGCACTACCAGAGAGAGAGAGAGACGGCTCTGTCTCACACGCCACTCTCTCTCTGTGAACGCGCTACCAGAGAGCGAGGGAGACCTCTCTTTCTCTCTCTCTCTCCCCCTCCCCCCCTCCTCCTTGGCTACGTGATCATTTTGAAATAGTATGTCCCACTCCGCCACGTAGGCTCCAATAGCCCTGGGCATTTCGCGAAGTTGCCCTCCTGGCAGGGGGCCAAACCTGGTGAAAATGAGTGCAGAACCGGCCATATGCGACGTGGTCTGGAACGCAAATCGCAAACATTGAGGGGTACTGGGGCACTGAGCTCTAACAGCATTTTTTAGGGGCATTTTGGCATTCATCTCATCTTTGGGGGGCATGTCACAATTTTTATTATTATTATTATTATTTTTTAAGTTAGAGTCAAATTTGAAACAGTTTTCACCTTTTGCAGACACAGATGCGGATCCCAGGGCTCGATCCCCAGACCTTACCTTACTTTACCTGTGTACAGTATCAAGTCGACCCTGTGTGCCTTGAACCCGTGACCTGTGTGTTAGTAGTTGTTGTCTGTCGTAGGTCTGAGTAGTTTTAGAGTCGAAGTAGGGTTCATAACTGCATAGGCGTCATAGTTTCTGTAGTTCTGAAAGGTCAAGGTCATAGCTGCTACAGTGCTGAAAGGTCAAGGTCGTACCTGCTACAGTCCTGAAAGGCCAAGTCCGCAAACTTCCGGAAGGTCGGGAAGTGGCCTTTCAAGTTTCTTCTCACGTTATACACAGCAGAGCAGAGGCAAGTGGGCAAGTGGTGAGTTCAACTTTGCTTAGTCAGCAGTACCCAGTCCCAGTCTCACTTTGTACAGTCAGCAAGTACCATGAGGGACTGTGTGCACCATGGGCCTGGTGGAAAAGGGCAGACCAGCGACTTACAGAAGTATGAACCAAGAGGCAGCGTCCAGCCATTCATTCATTCCTGCGTGAGCCATGCGGAAGTGCTGCCTGAGCGTCTTGTGCGAGGTGGTCTGCAGATGCCTGAGGTCGAAGTGGGCTTGAAGAAGTTAGTGCGCCATAGTCAGTAGTAGCCGGTGGCCATAGCCGCCATAGCTAGCGTCAGGTGTTAGTGTGTGTGCACGTGTGTGTGATACAGTGAACGTGTGTGGCGTATTCAGGGTGATCCAGAGTTGAGTGTGTGCGAACAGTGGTGTTGGACACAGTGACGAGAGTTGGGATGTACAGGCGCTGATGCGCCATAGCCCATTGAAACGAGTTTGCATCTGAACTGTGTTCTCGGTCTCCATATCTCTGAGCTTTGAGTGGGCGCTTGGTGCCAGTGTGAGTTGCCATTTTTTTGCATGCCTGCGAAGAGAAGAGGAAACCGAGTCTGATTGCAATTTTATACCATTTCTCGATTTATGCGAGTCATCCTTGCACAGGCGCCATGCCCTATGCTTGCAGGGGTCCACTCTATATAGCCTTAGGAGTAGTGGTATCATTCCAATTTTAACGGATGTCCCCAAGGAGTTCCCTTTTCTTTTTATATATCTCATCTTGGGCTTCTTTTTACTGCTAGTGGCTTGCTCATTTTCAGGTAGAGCCTATCGGTAGCAGAAGGGTATGGTGAAATATTTATTGATTGTTAGTCTGGGATAAACATGGGAGGGCCCTTGTGTGAGCAGTGTGACACAAACACACATGTGGCTGCATTTGCAGTGAACATTTGCATATTTTGCATTGGGCACTGAGGTTGGAAGAAAGAACGTTCTTGAACCACCAGGAGCATGGTCCCACTCCCACTGCCTTCTTCCCCCGAATACAAAGTACGGTCATTGTAGCTGTATCTAGACTGAAAGATGCTTCAAATACAGCCATAATGACTGTTCGTTGTATTCGGGGGAAGAAGGTAGCAACTGGATAGGATAGAAAAGTGTTTGTGTGGCGGTTGCCGTGCAGTATTCGTGATCCCAACGTCAATATCTTACACGTATTACCCGAAAAAGTAAGGAGATCTTTGTTCCCCTCCTCCTCTCCTTAACACTGGGCATGCCGGTGCAAAGGAGGCTTACCGCCAAAATCTTTTCAATCCGTTGGGGGTATGGCCAATCCCAAAAGAGGGTGGGATCAGCCATAGGGCGTCGTTAGACACTCCTTGGGGATGCGACTCCAAGGATTTCGCCGTCGTTCCACCTGTCCTCGGAGCCGATTTTTGGGAAAAACAAGTCCAAACACTCCGAGGACAAATCCTCGGGCTCCGAGGATTTCCCAGCCAAATCGTCCTCGGCTCCAAGGGACCTCGTGGGGTGCTTTGGAGTCTGAGGATCCGCGATTCGCGGGGTGACGGCGTTGAGTCCAGAAGGAAAATTGGAGGGCGAAGGTGGTCCAGTCGTGGTCCACTGGTCGGAAGACGGACATCGTGGGCCCTCCTCGTCGACAACGTCCTGCAACAGCCTCCTCAGTTTACCTTTGGCGGTGATTCGCGGGACGGCCCTGTTGGTTGTTCGGGTGGCCCGTTGGTGGGGCCGTGGTGAGCGTCTTCGGCTGGCTCCTAGAGGGGTTGTGGCGTTCGGCAGACATCCCAACGGTTGAATTTACGGATTTTGTAGCCGCCCGCCCTCAATCGCTCCTTGCAGGAGTCTGCTTCGTTGGCATCTTCCCTCTTGTACTGTGTCGCTACTCGCCTTGAATGCGACAGCGCAAGTGCGTGTTCTGTCTCGGCTGCCGTGTCATCCATGGCTGACCTGTACCACAGGCTGCCTGTGCTGCTGCTCGTCGCTGTGTTGCTGCTTGTCGTTGTCATCTTCCACATCTGCTTCCTCAGGCGCGTTCCTGGAAGGAAAGTGACGCCGCGAACGTCGAAGAAGGCGAGGAAGATGGACAACCTTCAGACGAAGACCACACTGTCGGTAGGGGCGAGGGGATCTCACGTCAGCGTTGCACCGGTGTGGAAAGTGGCAGGCGGCCGTACCCCCCGATGCTGTACAACCACCTACCGTCCCATGAGATTCCATTGCCTCCAAGTGACGACGACGGCAGCGACCCTCGATCCTCAACGGTTCCTCTGGGGAGCGGTTGGACGCAGGATTGGATGGGGAGCCAGCTGTACAGACAGGCAACGACACCGACGTACACTGATCTGCTGGAGAGACGGACCTCGGCTGGCTATGACGCAGGACTCGTCGGTCTGAGCTTCGGTCTGAGGTCTGGGAGTGGTCAGGACGTGGCGCCCACCGTTGTCGTGAACCCAGCTTCAGGCAGCAACCACACACTGCCTTTAGTGAGGGCGGGGGGCCTTTCGGATAACCGTGGTGGGTGTTATCGTGAGTTGGCCGACGAACGCAGATTCGTATCGCCAAAGCGTGGGTCGGTGAGCAGTGCAGGTGTAGCCGCTTCAAGGACGAAGACAGCGGGATTGGCGGCCTGTCGATCGACGACGCCTCCCGATGCAATCGACGGACGAGGGGACAACGATGATTGCTCCGCTACAGAGGTCATGGGTCGACGGGTTTGGGATGATCATCGGCAGGACTGGGTATGCCTACAATCTCGCACAGGGGAAAAGTCAGGTACTATGCAAAGTTGAACGGGGTCCGAATAGAGATGCAAGCTGGGCACTGGGACTGGGTGTAGCGGATATTCCCATCCTTAAGTGAGGTACAGATGCAATTTCCTCCTCCTTTTTTAAACCACCACTACCTCCGATCCTGTTTTTGCCGAACCTGAATTTCACTGCGCACCGAGTTTATCAGAGCCTGGGTCCCCTTGTATTTTATTTTCTGGTACTCACGGCCGTTCCAAAAGAAAAGAAAAA